TCCTTTTTAAGTTTAAAACCCTAATTTTTGGAGAGTGATGTATTTCCTTCCTAAATGCTTTCTTTATTATGGATTTCGAAACCTTAGTGCTTTGTGTTGGGTAGAAAAATGATGTTATTGTGATCTCATGTATTTTCTTAGTTGGTTGTGGAATTGTTACATGATATATTTTGGGGATTTTGGATAGATGCTTGTAAATTGAGATAAATGTTGGAATTGTATGCTTGGTTGGGTTGTTTGTGATGCACATGAGTGAGAGGTTCCTTGTAACGATGCTCACCCCTTCCCAAGAGGTTCCCGGTAAGGATGCTTGAAAAATAATGTAGTGATTGGTGAGAGGTTCCATGTAAGGATGCTCATCCATTTTCAAGAGGTTCCCGGTAAGGATGCTTGAGAATCAAAGGTGACCTAAAGGGGGGTGGAGGTTACCACAAAGTATGCCACCTACCGAAAGAATTGTTGAGAATTGGTTATGACAATTAATGGTTATTATTTGTATGTGGTGCTCGTTTATTCATTTAAGTAATGTTTTTAAATAAACTTGACATCCTTTTTAAATGTCACTGCTTTATTTCAAATTATGTATCTATATTATGTTAAAATTGAGACCGATCGTTTTAAATGTTTTTCTAAACCTTGTATGGATTTAGGAGAATTTTTCTACAGAGCTTCGTGCTCACCCCTTATTGCTAACATTTTTCAGATTACCCACTTGAGGAGGAGGACGTAAGGGTCGAGGAGCCTGCTACTTGGGAGACTCCACTGGACGGGAGTGTGGATCCCGAGGTGGAGAGTGACCTCCTTTCCTTTTGTACTAGACTAGGACATTCTTTTGGAAAATTGTGTAGTCTAGCTTCTTTTGTTTATTCCGTTGCGCTTCTTTAATTAATTTTTGAGATGTAATAGCCATGATTTGGGCTTATTCTTTTGGATAATGTTATAAATATTCGTGGATGACAAATGAAGTCTTGTTTCTTAAGGGATTATATTAGTGCTTTTATGATATGAATAGTTTTAGAATGTAATGCAGTCTAGGGTGTGTTTTGGGGTGTTACAAAGTTGGTNTAATTGAAGTTTTGTTTTTTAAGGGATTATATTAGTGCTCTCATGATATGAATGGTTTTAGAATGTAATGCCGTCCAGAGTGTGTTTTGGGGTGTTACAAAATAAAACGAGAAAAGAGTTCTAGGTGAAGTATTATTTTGAAGAAATAAAATGAAATAACAATGAGGATAATAGTAAGGAAATTGCATGAAAGAAGTATCAGTTATTCAACCTGTTAAAGGACTATCTACCTGCAACCAAAAAATAAATGAAGCAATTCCCATGCATTACCTGCTGAGTTAGCGATGCAAGTGGCAGCAAGAGTGGGCATGATACGTCCCAAAAGTTTATTGCTCCATTATTGTGTCCTGTTACATACAAGTTCTTGATCTTTGAATACCCACTAAATTGATTTGTGTTTGAGTGAGATCCGTCTTTTTTCCTCGTAGAAAATTGAAAAAGTGGTGGGATATTTTTTGCCAGCAAAACATTGTCCTACATAACCAAGCAAATTGTAAAGCTCCATAACCATTGAGAGATGACATAATGGTCAAAGATAATGACAGGACGAATAACAGTACCACATTTACCTCATCAACAGAACCTGATAAATAGGAAGTGTCTGTTATGAATTTCGCTACAGTGATGCTTGAATCCGCAAAAGGAAGCTTCACTCTGATCTCCCTTGGGAGTGATGATGGGGATCTAGATTGGCTCTGTAACAGGTATTTTTCAATTGCACAATCATCATAGGCATAAATATGACCTGATTTTCCAAGCAGCATTAAAGTATCCTGTTTACATTTTCCCTGTTCATTGAATCCTGAAATGATCTCAATGTCAACACAAGGCTCCGGCGGAGTAAGCCCCAACTTAACGGTGCGAGAGTCAGTGTGCTCATTCAGCAAAATTACCTGCCACATCAGTATGAACTTTTCTATGAAACAAGAGTTGAAATATTTTTGAATGTTATTAATATCCGAAAGACAATAAACTTCTCAAATATAAGCAATGTTCTAGACAGATCTGCCTCGAGATATATCTATGTGTCTTGAAGCTCATTCGTTTCTGATATTTTCAAAACAAAGGATGCAATTCTAATTAAGAAATTCCACTGCCAAATCATTTTGATTGGAAGTTGTTCACAAAATTGAAGAACTTTATACTTCAAACATAGTCTCCCAGTATGATGTTAGACTTTGGCATAATAGGTTCGATACCCAATAGTGTTCCAGCAAGGAGTAGGTCATAACAAAAAATATGAAGCAGCTATCAAGAAGGATTGAAATTTGTGGTAGAGAATGTTAACAACAACTAACGAGCAATAGAAAGCTAAGCATATAAGTTACATTGTAGAAAATATGATAAACCACAACATCCGAATACCTGTGCCAAGTTTGCAGATGCAATATCAGATGAACCCAAGACATATAATCGATTTGCTTTCCCATCAACACAAGTCCACTTCAATGTAGCTATAGGCATCTTGTCCAATTTATATCCAAGATTCAGCTTACAAATAGGACCACTTTGAGTGCTAAATAACTCTGTATTTGTTGCTAGTTCAGTTTTTGAATTTGAGGTTGATGGAATACTCCAGATGAAAATCTCTCCATTGCTGTATCCAACAACCACTTTACTCCCAAAAGGGCAAACCCAACATGCAGCTGTTACTTTCTTTGACTCATGAGAGAGTGATAGCAACATAGTTCCACCAGTTGTGAAAATTGCTTTGCTTTCTTGAATTGCCCATAATGCAATAAAACCATCTCTATATATTATAACAACCCTGCACCAATACAAAAATCACACCAGAGATAAGAATTCACAGAAATATTAGAAGAACACTAACCGCACTGCAGAGATATTTTCTTGGAAATTGTGGAAGACAAGCACAGCAAAAGACCGGCTCCATTTACCAAAAGGGATGAAACAAATGCAACAGGATTGATTCAATCAAAGAACACTAACCACACTGCAAATACATTTTCTGGGAAATTGTGGAAGACAAGCACAGCAAAAGACCGGCTCCATTTACCAAAAGGGATGAAACAAACACAAAAGGACTGATTCAAGCAATCTCAAAATCCTTGTTCCCATTGAGCCTTTAGTCATGTTGTTAGAGTATTTATATTATGGGTAGTTTTGGCATTTTACATTATTTTGTTGCAGTAATATATAAGGGCCTACAGTGTTTATTCTAGGTGAAGGTTGTATTACTGATTGGATTAGTCTTAATAATATTCTTTACTTCTCTCTCTTCTCCCATTCTTTTTTTGCCTTTGATCAATGTTAACATGGTATCATAGCTTTGTTCAATCCTAGCGTACTTAAAAAAATTTTGAAGAACACAGCAGAAAAAAAAAATTCTTCTAGCCAAAAACGAGAGCTGACGTCATTGTTGATATCATCAGTCTGGAGTCGGAGAGAGCACTACCATACTTGATTCTTCATGGGCTTTCCAATAGCATGTTTCGTTTTTGATTTTGAGGTCATCAGATAGAGTTTTTCAATTTTTGAATTTTTTCAAAAATTTCAGCTCTATTTTTCGATCTGTGATTTGGGGTTGTTTTTCTCGAATTTTTTGCTTTCAATCGAGTCTAAAGGGTGTGATTAAGAGTGTAGGCTGGTTGTATGATTGGAAGGCATTTGGTTGAGTTTTGGTTGGATTTTGACTGCTTGGGACCGTCAGCCTACTGTTCACAATAAGAACAGTAGCCAAAGTCTTTATTTTGGGCTCCTGTTTCTGTTCTTAGCCCTTGTTGCCAATTGGTTTCTGTTCTTGGCCCTGTTATTGGTTGGTTTCAATTCTGGGGAGGCCTCTCTTGGCTTCGCTGGTGGCTTCACTGGTTATGTATCACATTTGCTTCGCCGGTTGGCTTCATAGGTGGTGTATCACATTTGTTCTCTTGGACAGCTTGATTTCTTGTTTGGTTGTTGGACTCCCACTATTCTGACTTGGTTTAGGTATTGTTTTGTTGTGAGCATTGACCCTTTGTTTAACATTATGACAAGTGAATATTTTGATTCTCTTCAAGCTATTAATGTAAGATTAAATGGTGCAAATTATTCATATTGGGCTTATGTTATGAAGAATTTTTTGTTGGGTAAGGAGATGTGGTGTTATGCTAGTGGTGATGTGCAAGCTCCCAACAGATTCGAATGTAAAGAAATATGCTGACTTAAAGAACACTTAGGAAATCAATAATGCTAAAATCATCACTTGGATTAACAACTCAGTTGATCAGACCATTGTATTCATTTTACTAAGTTTAACATAGTAAAGGAAATTTCAGATTATTTAGCTATATAATTTGTTCAGTCTAATTTTACAAAGAGATATCTGCTTGAGCATGACATTCGAGCTGCACGTTAGCGTGATAAGACCATACAGGAGTTCTACTCAGTTATTACTAGATATTGGGATCAATTAGCACTTGTTAAACATGCTGAACAGAGTACTCATATAGTTTATCACACGTTTAGGGAGAAGTAGTGGTTGGTGCAGTTTTTGATGGCTTTTACAGATCACTTTGAGGGACTTCATGGTTCTATTCTTCATCGTCTTCCCTTTCTCACAGTTGATGCAGTAGTGAATGAGCTTCTGGCTAAATAATTCCAGTTTAAGACTCTTTCTAGAAAGGGTCTTCTTCCATTACCTAATCAGACTGTGTTGGCTGTACCACCCAAGGTGACTTCTTATTCACATAATAAATATTGGAATCGAGTTGTTTCAGATAAGTGTAGTTTCTATCATAAGAAGGGCCACTGAAAGACCTAGTGTCTTAAATTGTTGAACAAGAATGCTAAGGAAGTATTAAATCAGCCATTTAAGTCCAAAGACCATCATACAGCAGCAGTCAGTGGATGAATCACTCCCATCAACAACATAATTATCATAGTTGATCAGTTGCAGAAGCTTCTATCTCTTCATCAACCAAGTACCCAATCAGTTTCTCTCTCAGTAGGTTCATTCACTTCGGGTCTTTCAAGTGTATCTCGAACTGTCTAGATCTTTGACTCAAGAGTCACCCATCACGTGACTAGTAATTCTTCCTTATTTGCTTTTATTGTTTCTCCTCCCTCTATATTTGTTCTTGGAGCTAATGACACCCAAATGTCTTTGACTAGTGTTGGAACAATTGTGTCCGTCCAGCTTACACTTCCTATGTCTACTATATTCCTCAGCTTGTTTTAAATTTAATCTCAGTTAGTATGTTGTTTGATTCAAAATTTGTAGTTCACTTTTTCTCTACTAGTTGTGTTATGCAAGATCCACCGTCCAAGAAGCTGATTGAGAAAGGTCATAGAAATGGAGAGTTGTATGTGTTGGACAACCTTCATGTTCCCGAAGTTGCTGCATCTACTGTTGATTTATCTTCTTTTTAATTAAGTCCATAATTGTCTAGTTTTTATTTATGGCACTCTCGCTTGGGTCGTGTTTCTCATTCTTGTTTAAAATGTTTAGTTTCTACTAATAGTTTGGGTAATTTAGACTGTCATGATATTTCCGATTGTAATGGATGCAAATTGGCAAAATTTACTACATTACCGTTCAATAAAGTACTTATACTTCTTTTGCTCCTTTTGATTTAGTGTATTTTGATATTTGAGGACCAGCTCCTATTGTTACTAAATGGTGGTCTAGATATTGTCTCTTTTATTGATAATCATACTAGATACTATTGGGTCTATTTGATGAAACATAGGTATGAATTCTTTTGTGTCTTCACTACTTTTTATGCTATGTTGCATACTCAATATTCTTCTATCATTAAATACCTCTGATGTGATCAAGGTGGAGAATATTCCTTTACTTTTTTTCGTGATTTGTTGAAATTTGATGGTACTATTTATCAGTCCTCTTGTACTGACAACCCTGAGCAGAATGGAGTAGCCGAGCGAAAATATCACCATATTATTGAGACTGCTCGTTCTCTTTTATTGTAACTCTTTTTGAGGTGAAGCGGTCTTTACATCAGTTCACCTAATTAATTGTATTCCCACAATCCTCAATTATAGTATCTCACCATTTGAAAAATTATGTGATAAGACACCTGATTATTTCTCTTTCCGTGTGTTTGGCTGTACATATTTTATTTAGTTACCTACTGCTAATTGTATCAAACTCTCTTCTCGCTCAGCCTTATGTGTTTTTCTTAGATACAGTGAGGGACAAAAGGGATGTCGTTGTGATGATCTTAGTACAAAAAAACTCTATGTTTCTTGCTATGTTGTTTTGATAGAGCATGTTCGCTTTTTTTTTTTCATCTAGTCCTTCGTCTCTGCATAAATCTGATCAAACCTATCTTGATCCCTTTCCATCTAATGTTTCCTCTGATATATATGTTGGTGATATGACTATCTCTGATCTTCCCTCCACTTCTTCTTCTTCTCCCTCTTTAACTGATTTGTCTGTTACCCGCCTCCCAATTGTGCATACTTAAGTTCACAAGACTCCTACTGTCTCCTCCACAGATGAAATGCCTTCATCCTAATCTCTTGTCTCCCAATCAAATTATGACACTATGGATCATACTCCCTATTACCCTCGGCACACTTGGAAGTGTCCTGATAAGTTTGGTTGGTCCAACCCTTTTTACTCTTCTGATTTTTGTTCTTTCCTGACTTTACCTAAGACTTGAGCTTGAGAGTTGGTGTCTTTACCTCCTAATAAACGCACAATTGGTTATAAGTGGGTTAACAAAATCAAAACTCAATCTAATGATTCTGTGCAAAGTTACAAGGCTAGATTAGTAGCCAAGGAATTTGCTCAAGAGTATGGGCTTGATTATGATAAGACCTTTGTTCTAATGGCTAAGATGACCATGATTCGTATAGTAATTGTTATGGCAGCTCTTCGTCAGTGGATCTTCTCTCAGATGGATGTGAAAAACGCTTTTCTTCATGGTGATTTATTTGAATACGTCTATATGACTCCTCCTCCTGGGTTGCCTTATAGTTCTAGTCATGTGTGCAGACTTCACATGGCTTTATATAGCCTTAAATAGCCCCCAAGGGCATGGTTTATAAAATTTTCTTTAGTCATATGTAACGTAGGCTTTTGTGCTAGTGATCATGATTCTACTCTTTTTCTTCGATCCCCTTCTTCTAGTTTTATTCTTCTATTACTTTATGTGGATGATACAATTATTATGTGATGACAATGCCAAAATTTAGTTGTTAAAAACTCAGTCAAAGGATTATTTTGACATGAAAGATTTGAGTCAACTTCAATATTTCTTAAGGATTGAGGTCACTTCCTCTCCCAAGGGTTATCTTCTATCTCAGTCAAAATATGTCTCATATGTTATTCAACGAGCTTTCTTAGAGCTCAACGTTCGTTATACTTCCTTTAATAGTTATCTTCTGCCTGATCCTACATTATATCATACTATTGTTGGGAGTTTGGTATATCTTATTTTTACTCGTCTAGATATTGCTTATGCAGTTCATGTAATTAGTGAGTTTGTTGTTACTTCTACTACACTTCACTAGTATGTCGTTCTTCAGATTCTTCGATATCTGCGGGATACATTGTATCAGAGTTTATTATTTTCTTCCTCATAGTCTCTAGAACTCCGTGCTTACTATGATGCGAACTGGACTAGTGACTCTATGGATTACAAATCCACTACTGGTTTCTATCTCTTTCTTGGTAATTCTCTTATTTCGTGGAAAAATAAGAAACAAACTATTGTGGTTTGATCCTCTGTTGAAGCTGAGTATCGTGCTATGACCTCCACATCAGCAAAAGATCGTTTGGTTGCGTTGGCAACTTGTTGATCTTGGTATTTCCTTGTCTACTGCCAAGGATCAAAATTTTGTTTCGAAGTACCGTTTTGGTCAACTCAAAAATGGAAACGCAGAAAAAATATGAAAACGCATAGAAACACAAATACAATCCATTAATTTATAAAGATAAGCTAAATAATTGATTAATTCAACATATTTATTGGGTTAACATCCAATTATACAAGAATAAATTTAAATTTGAGGAAAAAAAAGGCTTGACATGAGGCAAAAATCACTTAAATTAGTTTCAAACACTTAATTTTTATGACAAGGATCAAAATTTCGTTTCGAAGTACCGTTTCGGTCAGCTCAAAAATGGAAATGCAGAAAAAATATGAAAACGCATAGAAACACAAATACAATCCATTAATTGATAAAGATAAGCTAAATAATTGATTAATTCAACATATTTATTGGGTTAACATCCAATTATACAAGAATAAATTTAAATTTGAGGAAAAAAAAGGCTTGACATGAGGCAAAAATCACTTAAATTAGTTTCAAACACTTAATTTTTATGACAAGGATCAAAATTTCGTTTCGAAGTACCGTTTCGGTCAGCTCAAAAATGGAAATGCAGAAAAAATATGAAAACGCATAGAAACACAAATACAATCCATTAATTGATAAAGATAAGCTAAATAATTGATTAATTCAACATATTTATTGGGTTAACATCCAATTATACAAGAATAAATTTAAATTTGAGGAAAAAAAAGGCTTAACATGAGGCAAAAATCACTTAAATTAGTTTCAAACACTTAATTTTTATGAAATAAACATATTTTTACATAATATTAAGGTCTTATAATACACATGAAATGCTAATGAGTACATACTTACATGACTGCATCCATCCCCCCGTGGAGTGTCGAGCAGGCTCTGGATAGCTACTTAGAGAAACTCCATATGTGACATAAATATGATGACAATAGTTACTCCAACTGATATTATTACGGTAATATTATCCAATTAATAATACTATTTTATTATAATACTAATAATGAAGGGTATCAAATTAAATTAATGGTACTTATGTATACTTAAAAATTAAATGTAATTGTAGTGGGTATTAAATGTAATTACAGTGGGTATTAAATATAATTACATTAGAGTATTAAATGTAATTGTTAATACTTATAAAAAAAAAAAAAGCAAAAGACTTGCACAGCAATGGGGTATTAAATATAATTACAGTAGGTATTAAATATAATTACAATGGGTATTAAATATAATTAAAGTAGAGTATTAAGTGTAACTATTTATTCTTATAACAAAAAAATTATAAAAGGCGGAAGAGCAGTGAGAATTAAATGTAATTATAGTGGGGTATTAACTGTAATTACAATGAGTGTTAAATGTAATTATAGTGGGGTATTAAATGTAATTATTCATAGTGAACCAAATATATCACTGTTTCGTCGAAATGGTACTGTTTCGATCGAAACAGTCCGAAACAGTGTTGTTTCGACCGAAACGGTCCGGAACAGTACCATTTCGACCGAAACACTAGAATTTTGTGATTCAACTACTGCTTCATTTCAGAGTGTTAAAATTCCAAAACGTTTCGGACGTGTCGACAAATATTTTGATCCTTGTCTACTGCTACTCCTATGTATTGTGATTACTCGGTGTTTCATGAGTGCACAAAACATATTGAGATTAATTGTCACTTTGTGCGTCACCATCTTCAGTTGGGCACGATATTTGTCCCCTTTCTTTCTTGTACTATACAGTTGGCAGATTCCTTCTTAGCAAACTCTTGATGTTTGATACTACCACATCATGAGTTTGAGGAGGGATGTAAGAGAATTTATATTATGGGTAGTTTAGGCATTTTATACTATTTTGTTGCCCTAATATATAAGGGTCTACATTGTGTATTCTAGGTTAAGGTTGTATTACTGATTAGATTAGTCTTAATAATATTTTTTACATCTCTCTCTTCTTCTCCTCTTCTTTTCCTCTTCTTTTCTTGCCTTTGATCAATGTTAACAACTCACACATTGGCAAGGCTATGCCCATGACATATCTGACAATAATTATGGTCTGCCAAAAGCCCTAGGCAAAAATAGATTTCATTACAGTTAAAGGATCATGTCAGTTAGTGAGCTGTATCCAAAAATTATGTGGAAACACAACATTGCTAAATCTTATTAGTAATTTATCTTCTGATGGACGGTCCAGACACTACACTCCATATTTAACTACTCAGTGCAAGAATTCAACAACGTAGCAGGTAGTTTTTCCATCTATGACTGGAACATGGTGTTGGAAAAAAATTGGATACAAATAAAGTGAACGACGGGGTGAGGCGCGGACTAGGTCCCTCTCTTAAGATGATTCGTGCCCTTTATGAAAGAATCACAGCGCAGAAGGGAGTAGCGTGTCGTCCCCAGGATACAACAACTCAGCCTATTGACTGTTGCTTCACTCAGATTTGCACAATCGAATGAAGCAGAATCTTCACACACACCTTTGAATATTACCCAGAAACTTATATTATAAGAAAAAAGTTGATATGATATATATTGTATATCTCTATACTGGAAATACGTATATATAATATGTGTTTAATAGGCTGTAATTACTTCTAGATTTAATTGAATAATAACTCAAGAAATATGACTGTTGGAATACTAGCAGTTGGAGGTTTTTGGTATTCAGCAACTGAAATTTTATTATAGAAGTAATGACTGAAAATAATTAAACAAAATATTAAAAAGTGGGTTTAATACTAGTTAATATTTTATTTCATTTAGGCGAGCCAGGGGACCCATTACCCATGTCGTGGACTAGGCACACCAGTGTGGTTCGTAGATTTTAGAAATCCGTATCTCCTCCGCTAGTCCTACCCATGAGCACGTGAGAGTCCCAAGACCTCTCTTTGATTTAAAGGTTAGATAACACTAGTATATATATACACTCAAGTATCTTTGGATGTTTAGTCGATATGGGATTGAGTTCTCACATAAAAAAAAACACTCTTTTAGTTAAAATATTCTCACATGGTAGTTTCTTATAAAACTTCTCAACCAAAATATGACAGAAACAATTTTGGAGGAACCTCAGGCGATTTACACATGATAGTGCATATCATGTAATTGTGTGGTGAAGCATTTTGTAAGTTTCATATTTGGAGAACTTGAAGCGAAGCATAACTGAAAAACAATACAACTTCCTACCATGTAGTAGTCAGCAAGCAAGGATAGTTGGTATTGACTACTGCAATGAAAGGATTAAAATAAAAAGGTCATTACCCAATTTGGTCCCTGTTAATCGAGTGTGCTAAGAGGGGTGAACTAAGTGCCATTTGATCTTTAGCACTCTATGCACAAAGTGGCTGCGATCATAACTACATTAAGGAGATGAAAAAAAAGAAATGGTTCCTTGGCTTTCAGTATACACCAATGGTTTTATCATAGTAAAAAAGAGCAACTACTAGATACTTATATCCGGGAAAACACACCAAAACGAATTAGGCAAGCAACCGTACCAAGCATTAAATCCTCCCTTTAATTAAGGTTTGCTTCTTAATCCACAAGGACATTGTTTGTTGAACTTTGTTTTCATTTTTTGCAAAAGTCTGGAGTGTAAAAAAGAATAAGAAAAGGAAATGTCAATATGAGGAGAGACTACCTCTTACTTTCAGCTGTTGGTTGAGGCAGTATGTGCATGACAGAATTATCTCCAGCAACTTTGCTTGCATTCCCTGAGAGTTCGTTTGTTTAGCGGGAGAATGGTAGAAAATGCAAGAAAGAGAAATTTTTTAAAATTTTAATATGTTTGGTTAGCATGAAAAGGAAAATAATAGAAAAAATTATTTTCTTTCATGCCTGAATTTTCTCACAAATAACCAACTATTTTTTCTTGTAAAAAACACAAGGAAATGCAAGAAAGTTGTGATCTATAGTTAACTTCCCATTTTACCCTTATTTTTCTTAAAATATTTTATTAGTTATTAATTTTTAAAAAATTTGGTATAAATTTGATTAATCATATAATTTGACCCAAAGACCTTTGTGTTGGTGATTATCTTAGAATTAGGTTTCGAGCCACCTTTTTAAAAAAAAAATTAACGTTTAATTGTAATTACATATTTTTTTTCTTTTTTAGACCAATTTAATATAATTAAGGGTAATTTAGACAATTATAAAAAATTTCTTATAACTTTACTTTCTTTCAAACAATAAAATAAATTTTTTTTAAAAATTTTCCTGCAAATTTTTCATTCTAACCAAATGCATGCATGAAAGTATATTTTCTATCATTTTATTTTCTTCCACTTCACTTTCTATCATTTTTACTTTTCATCATTTTTTTCTTTCTAACCAAACGAACCCTGAGTGAAAATAACTTATCAACTCAAAAATGTGCAAGAGAAAAAAAGAAAAAAGCAAAGGATGGGTGAAAAAAATGACTTTGTCTACAATGAATAACTAAAGGTAATTTTCTAGAGACAGCTGAAGTACTTATTCAAAGTTAAAATAACCCTTGATAATTAATGTTTTTTTAAGTAGTATTTTTCTTTTTCAAGTATTTTTTGCAAGTAGCATTGTTTTTCAAATTTTTTTTTTTTTTGCTTGTTATGATTCGCTCCTTTTCTCTAACCTGGTTGCATGTATAACAGTACACATATGCTCATACAGAAATGCATTACTTAATATACTCAAATGCAGATAGATCACTTTTCCAAATAGTAATTCAAACAGTAGACAGTGACCTCCAGTGTTCATCCAGGCCACTTCAAGCTTATATACCACGATATCGTTTATTCTAATAAGTAGTTAATCCACTTTTTTTGGGTCAACAACACTTCAAAAATACCAAAAAGAACATAGGTTGGCATATTAAACTAATGGATAACACAATACGTATTTAGACAATAACGATTAGGACTAAAAACAAGAGTATTTGAGAATCAGTTCTGTTTCAAACTTTATAGGTAAGACATACCACCAAACGTCTTTCTTGTGTAAGTGATGGGTAAAAATCTGGTGTGAAGAAGAGAAATGTGGTTTACAGGAGCAAAAAAAGGATAAGGCTAAAAATGAAGTAGGTTAGAGCTGTAAGAATGGAATAAATTAGCTCAATTATTATCATGATAAACTGTATTTGAAATACAGCACGATGATGGAAAGGAACTTGTGGCTGACCTTGAAATGTGGGTGATATTGTGTCAAATTAAGTTGCATTGTGTACTATCTCAGATGGGAATTAAATAAATGTATCTTTTATTTGGGAACTTAACATCTCAATTTGGTTTCATATGTGCGAATAAGTTATAGAATACAAACCCCACAACCACCCAAAAAAAAAGAAAGTAGATGAAGCATAAAATAATAACAGCTCATTAAAACTGAGATATCTCTCACCATGAGATGCTGAAAGAGGAATACGGTATTGCATTTTCACTATAATGCATGGTTCTTGATCAAGCTTCAGAACTAAAATATTACCAATAGAGTCTCCAACAAACCTGTTGACATATATATCAACCATTATTCAAAGCCTTTTATCCACCATGTGTATATGCACCCGTAAAAGTTAAGAAACACTTACATGTAGAAGGTATGTTGCATGACCGTAAAACAGGTTATTTCTTCCTCAAAATCATGCACATGGGACAACAACTTCCTATCTATGTCCCAAACCTACAGATTAGTTACCTTAAGCAAATTAATTCCCTGAAAATTACAAAACAAAAATGACAAATGTATTCTGATATCTGCTCCTATGAGTATAACACCACACATAGATAGTCTTTCATCCTATGAAGATGTGACCAGGAAAAAAAAAAAAAAAGAGTCACTGGGGTTAAATTTTAAACGTCAGCAATTAGTCTTCTCGGATGACTTACCTCAATACAGTTAATGGCATTTATGTTCAAAAGGATGCCTTGGTTCTCAATAAACTGCAAAGAACAAAAGCCAATAGCATCTGTTTTCATTTGACACTAACAAACAAGGGTACAAAATAGAGAAAACTGGAAATTAAGTAACCTCTTGGAGAGAAATACCTGCAAAAACTTGCTAGGTACTGCATCAGGAGACTCAAGTAGAGCTTGAGTGTTATCTTTCCCAAATAATTTGATTCGTCCATCTCTTGAAAAACAAACAAACTAGTGTCATCAAAGTTTACGAATTTACTCTTTTAATTAGGAGATACATTATTTTATGAATGCCTTTATCATTTAGCACCACAGCAAAAATTTTGTGAAAGGGGCAGGCCCACTATACACAACAAAGTAAACAAATGTATTAGATTTGCAACTCCAGGCCGGGGTGAAATGTGATATATTGTATCATCATGTAAATTGATAATAATAGACATAATAGACAGCGGAAATGTAAAGACGAATCTGAGAAAGTTCTTTACCAAAGAAATGCCATTCTGGACTGCCATATTAAAGTTCAGTAATTTTTATAAAAATAAAAAAAGACATATTGCAGTAGTGAAGGTATGAAATGTGTTGAACCAAGATCAAACTGTATGAGCCAGTGGCTCCCCTAAAATGATGAAATAATACCCTCTTAAATCATCACATACAAAGATTGAAATGCATCCACAACTTTGAGCAGAAAAGGCTTAATTAGTTGCATGAATAACACTATTTGACTTGAAGAAATGAGAAACCTACCTAGTAGAAACAGCAAAAATCTGTTGAATGGTGTCACAGGCCAACAGCATAGATCCTAATGGGATGCCATAGTGGAATAACAGTCGCGTATTTATGTCATCCGGCTTCAAACCATCTGAATTCCATCCAGGCTGCAACACAAGCTTTAACAACTGTAAATTAGAGGGAGTAGTATGTTCCTGCTGGAAACTTATGACGACAATTGATAGCATTAAAAGTAGTCAACTTTTGCCAGATAGTCCGCTTTTATGAGGCAGCTTTGCTAATGCTGTTGATTGAGGTAATGGTCCTGTCACTCTTCATGATGATCTCACCAAAAGTCAAATTCTGAAGATTATTCCTTGCGGATAGAAACTTAATATTGAATAAGCAAATTATCAATACACAGTGCACTACTAATTTAAAAGCCACCTCTTCTCCACATTCCCCACAACACAAAAAAAAAGGGACTCATCATGCAACAATCCAATGTGAAAGGTGTATGACTTGATCCGAAATGTATACACCCAAGTGCAAGCGGTCAAGCTGTAGTAATAATCCAGTTAAGTCTGGAGTCGAATCCACAGGAAACTATGATTGGTGTTTTAAAGTAAGCAGTAATAGAGACCAAGTAACTGGAAACTTTGAGAGTTTGAAGTTGTGGGATTTCTTGAATAGAATAGAAGATTCTTTCCAAGAGTTTTCTAGACAAAATAAAAGATAAGTTCAAATGTAAAACAGTCATCCTTTAGCTTGAGGATCAAAACATATAGTTAATGATCCGGTTTATTATACTTGTATTTTATAACTCAATTAACTCTCATGTCAATAGCAAGTTAATCGGAAGGTAAAGATGGATTGTGAGAATTAAGCACATGATTCCGATGTCTTTTTAGAAGTTGACAAGAATTGTCTGTGCCAAGATTTAACCCGTCTACAAACAAGCAAGTGTTTCTACAAGGCATCCAACCATGGCATTAATGTTCCATTCTTTAGATAAAACACAATAATAGTGAAGATTGAAATGTGTCATGAAGATCTAGCCGAGGTACTTGCCTTGAACCAACGGGTTTTTCCATGCAAGAGTCATCCGTGACATAGAAAGAACCCATAGTTATACAAAGTACCTTAACTTTGCTAGATGTATTCAATTCTTCAATAAGTGAAATATAAAGCATTAAAGCATAAAGGAAATGCACAAATATAGCTTCCGGATAATCAATATATGTTCATCACCTCTTACTAAAGAGTGAATGAGGAACTACTCACTCTTTATGACTTAGGTAAAGCTAGAAAAGTGAGTGATACTCATCCCTCCAAGTAGAGAACTTACAAGGTAAAGTACAATAAACGAAGAGCCGATCTTCACCAAAGAATAAGTGAATCTCGTTCCACTCTTCACGGCTTTGGTAAAACACTAGAAGAATAAAAGAGTTTCACTCCTTTAAGGAAGAAGGAAGCTCAAGCAATGGAAGTGAAGGACAAAAACAATGAAAGTAGGAGAAAGTTAGTCACTACTTAGAGGGTGGCTTACTCAACCAACAAATGGAGGATTGCTTCCTCAACCAACAAGTGGAGGGTTACTTCCTCAACCAAAAGATAAAAGGTTGCTTCCTCAACCAAGAAATGAACTAACTCTCTTGATACAAATAAATATAACATACATTTAAGATTAATCAAAATGAGTGGGAATCTAAGCCTCCATACATACAAACTCCTTACTAATTCTTAGTGTAGTCTAGGCCTACAAACCAAGCTCTAGCTCCTTACTTTACAAGAGAAAATTTTTGCACCCATGAAGCTCCCCTAATGGGAGTATTTATAGGCAAAGGAATGGGAGGGGGGAAGATAAGAGAGGATGAATAGTGCATGCCGTCCAGTCTAAGTGAAAATCAACTACTCTACTGGCAATCTGTGGAGGACATTCGAATGTGAGTTGATGTTCGAACGTTATTTCTGTTTTGGCTTTATGGACGTTCGAACGTAGTCTGACGTTCGAACGTGTCTTCTATCTTTGCTTTAGGGTCGTTTGAACGCCAGATGGGGTTTGACCTTATCACTCAAGTGGTCTGTAGTCTTCTGTGGAAATCCACTTCCATACTTCATGCAAAACTTGGCGTTTTACACTCATCACTCTGGTCTTCAATCCAATCAAATGGACGTTCAAACGTGAGTTGGCGTTTGAACATGGTACTCAAGTACCTCAAAGTCTTCTTTCTTGCCTACAACACGTCATGTCACAGCAATCTGGTCTTCCCATAGTTCAAGTGGACATTCGAACATGAGTTGACGTTCAAACGTTCTTGCTTTGTTCCAACCTTCTCCAATTTTGTTCCCTTACGCACTGGTGTTGCACTCAAGTGTGATATTTGTTGTTCTTGAGCCTTTGTTTACTTTAGGACATAAAATGTCATCACTTAAACTCCATCAAAGTATAATTAGTCCTAAAAAGGCATAGTAATATGCTAAATTTAAGTAATACTCAGTGTACACTCCTCTCTTTGAAAGTACCGTCTAGGTGTTTCAATTTGAAGCCGTAGAATAGATTTGGTAAGTGTTGAAGTACAAATACTTAATTTACACCATTTCTAGTAGTTTAAGCTTTTGGAGTAGATGGTTGTTTAATATAGTATCAGAGCAGGAGGTCCTGTGTTCGAATCTTGCCGCCACTCTAATGATTAAAAGAATTTCACATGCTAGGCCCAAAAATTTAGCCGCACATGAGGGGGCATGTTGAAGTATAAAACCTTAAGTTACACCTTCTCTAATATCTTAAGTTTTGAGAGTAGATGGTTGTTTAACAGTAAGAACGTCATAGACTAGACCCTTAAAGTTCTGTGCTAGCTCGAATTCAAGGTCTTGAAATTGACTAGAAGGTCTTACCAAATCATTCTTCATCCGTCCCTCCAATCCCTGAAGTAAGGCAGACTGCCAGGGAATGATCTCCCACTAGATACACAATCCAAATTCCAACATATGACTTGCTTATGGCAAACTTGGAACAAATAGAAATTATGATTGCATCCAGTAGTCCAACATATGTCTGGAGAGGGTAAATATTCACACAGTGGTGAAGTTGCTTTGATGTCATTTAGACATCAATAGTTTGAATCACAATAATAACTTTTCTCAAGCGTGAACCAAGTCCAACATGTGACCTTCTATCAAATCCCGTTGTGTTGTGACCTTCTTAGATTCCGTTGTAACTGGAGTCTTGTTTACTAGACTGTTTTTTTTTTGTTTTCAATCCAAACCAATCTTACTCACACAGTGCTATCATTTGAAATCCATGCAAATCTCTACTAGTATGTTCTCTCTAATTTATAAGTCATGATCTTCCTTGACCACCTCGGTACATACTGACAAGATGATAGGATCCAGGGATCCTGTGTTAATTTGATTCACTTAAAGGGGAATTGTCCTCCAAGTTCTATTGATTTTTCTTCCTGCCAAAACACTGGTTTACAAGCTAATTTAAAGAAAAAGACTTCCTAGACTAGACTCCTTTGCGAATCATAACTCTTGGCTACAATTATTCTCCTAATCTAACCCAATTACTCAAAATCTATCCAAACAACTAAATCTGGATAGATACACTCAAACTCTAGCAATCTAAGAATGAAAAGCAAAATAGAAAAATAAGATAGTGTGTATAGCTGAGAGCCACAAGTACGAAGGGTCTTAAAATCCACACCCCCTTGAGAAGCCAACTTGTCCTCAAGTCGCAAATTCTGGAAAACAAGCAACAAAGTCAGAGTAAGCCTCCCTTGTCGCATCGGTAGCAGGAAAACCATCCCATTGAACAAGAATACATGTGACCGGCCTATTATTGCGTTTAAACAACCATGATCCAAAATTCGAAGAGGTTGCCAAGTGGTAATACCACTGCCAGGGAGGAAGCCGTGAAGCTGGTTGCACCTTCTCACCAAATTTCCTTTTTAGGCAAGACACATTAAAGACAGGGTGAATACGACAGTCAGTTGGCAAATCAATTTATAGGCGACTGACCCAATTCACGAAAGTAGACGGAAAGGCCCATAAAATCAGGGCAAGTGTTTATGAGTCCACGGGTCCCATGGAAATTTGACGATATGGCTGGAAGCGGAGGAAAACCCAATTTCCCATGCTAAAAGAGCAGTCTGTTTAGTGGCGATCAGCAAAATGCTTTGCGAGATTGGGCAGCAGTTAAGTTCTCCTTGAGTAAGCGAAGAATGGTGTCGCAATCCCATAAAGCGATGTCAATAGAATGCGCAGCAGTAGTATAAGGTAGATACAAAGCAAGGGGCAATGGAGGTTTTCCATAAACAACTTGAAATGGAGACATTTTTAAGCGAAGCTTGAAAAGAAATGTTAAACCACCATTCGGCCCATGATAGCCACTTTGTCCAGATGACAGGTTGCTGGCTTGCAAAGGAACACAAATAAGCCTGAGGATGATAAGCCAGCCTGCGACAAAGACTAGTGCCTTATAATTCAAAAAATGCCTCCCAAAATTGGATTGTGAAAACTGGGTCATGGTCACTAACAATGGACATAGGCATTCCATGTAAGCGAGCAATATCTCGAACAAAAATCTCGGCACTGTCAAAGCTGAAAAAGAATGTGAGATTGCATTACAGTGTGCATATTTGGAGAGTCTATCAACAACCACCACAATAGTAGTCTTATGAAGTGAAGGAGGTAAACCATCAATGAAATCCATAGAAATATCGGTCCATATATCTTCCGGAATCGATAACGGCTCCAATAACCCAGGTGGAGAGATACTTTCATATTTATTCCTCTGGCAAATATCACATTCTGCCACAAACTTCTTTGTAGCTTGCTTGAGACCCTTCCGATAGAAGTTACATTGAATGCATTTATAAGTCCGCAAGAACCCAGAATGGCCACCCACCAGAGAAGCACGAAATTCAGAAAGAATTTTAGAACACCGAGGAGAAGAAGGAACCACTATACATCCCCGATAACGTAAAACACCATCAATTAGAGAATAATTTGAATCCACAGTCAAGCCTTGCAGTAACTGAGAAATGACTGGGTACAAAGTAGGATCGGTGAAACATTCAACTCCTATTTCCTTGATGGCCAAAAAAATAGGGGAAGAGATGGCACGTACGGTGGAGTCTTCGGTTTGTCTAGACAAAGCATCAATGACCTGATTTTCTACTTCTTTGCAATATACTATCATATAATCATACCCCAATAATTTTGTAACCCATTTTCGCTGCTC